TTTTATTAACTATAATTTTTACAAGAAATGGGTATGAGAGAAAAGCGTTTGAAATGAGATTTTATTTAAAATTTGATATGGGCATCAGATTTCGTTACCAGCTTCTGGAGATGCACATGATTCGCATCAACTGATTTCACCAGGAACTGTTGTGGTATGGAAGACATAACTTCTGTATTCAACCTTTACTTCTTCCAAAGTCTTAGTTTGTTATAGTAGACATGCTCCTTTAACACCCCCCCTAAAAAAAAAAAAACAAGTCACAGGCGGTTAAGTCAGGACTTCTGGTTGGCCACTCATATATAAAATAGGGAGTTAATTTTCAATAACCCTGTAATATTGTTTTTTTAATTTATTGATGGTAATATTTTTTCAAAATATATTGCTGGTATTTTTATTATAAAAATCTATTTTTATACTTTCATAGTGTTTTGGCCCTCGGTTTGGGGGTTAACTATTTGCTTATACCTGGGTTCCTGGAAGTTGCTACAAACCCGTGTCAGGGTGGCGCTGAGGGCAGAGGTGGTTCCACGACACTGAGAACATTCAGATCAGAGGCCTTACTGCTGGATATAGTTTTTCGTCATACCCAGGACGAAATAAAAGATTGATCTATCTCAGGAAATGAAAGCTTGGGCCGCTTGAAACCTCAGACTTTTAGGTGAGCTTCAATGTTTTAAAACAATTTTGCAAAGATATATTTCGGGATCACCTTGAGATGCTTTGCTTCGTCCTCAATTTCTTCCACAAATTGAAATCTCTTCATTTTTTCAAAGGTAGTTCTAGCTTAGGTAAATGGCAGAAATATCGGGGAAAAAATCTGGACAGTAGTGTTGAAATGTTAATACAACTGTGCCATGTTGTGGCCTAGAATGAGTAGCTGAGCAGCTAGTCACATTATGTGTAGTCATCATAATTTATTTTGCAGTGTATTCTCTTTAAGATAAATGAGAAAATCCATTTCTGTGATTTACTACCGGGTGTGTTATTTTCCTTCATGTTATAGGTATACCTAATATTTTTACATAGAGACGATATGGTAAGTGTTATCGACAGGGAAGATGCAATACTGAATTTAAATTCTGACTGAAACTATTTACCAAAATGCCCCGAGGTTATGACTGCAGGCTTTCATATGCTGTTAACATTTGTCCTATTACTCCCTATATAATTTCCCATATGACAGAAGTGTTAAACTTGTCCTGTAGATAAAGAATGAAGAATGTTGTATTATATTTTAGATCATAGGAATAAGTAACCATAATTTGGACACTTCTTCTAACTAGATGATATGCAAACTAGTCTCGGAGTCCGCAATGAGTTAAATTCTGAGTAATTGTCTCATTATAACGGTTTGTGTAGCACCGAGCCTGGTTTAATAAATAATTGCAAGCCAGATGAAAGCAACTAGATAGAGACACTAATTGATCCAATCAGTAAATAAAAGGATGTCTTCTCTCTCTCTCTCTCTCTCTCTCTCTATATATATATATATATATATATATATATATATATATATATATATATGTGTGTGTGTGTGTGTGTGTGTGTGTGTACAAAGATATAGAAAAATAGGAAAGAACCGTTAGGGTAATAATCCGAAGTTTTTTAGTATTTTGTTTTTATTAAAAAAAAAGTGCTCAATACATAAGTAGAGCCTAAATTATAATAATTTTTTTTTAAATATGACTCCATCGCTACATAAGAGTTCTCGTGTTTCAAAAACAGAAGCTAAAACCTTCAATTTAATTATAAAACTGAAATTGAATTAAAGTACCCTAATTATATTGAAGTTTTTAGCTTCTGTTTTGAAACGTGACAGCACATATGTAGCAATGAAATCATATTTTTTCAAAATACATACATATATATATATACATTTTAAAAAGAGGTAACAGAAGAGAGTAAAACTGGATCAGGAGGTCACAACAGCAAGAGGGATCATCATTACACCTTATAGCTAAATACATTCTTTTTCTTCAAAGTAGAGTACAAATCCCCTGAGAATTCTAGTAAGATACATTTAATAATTTCTAAGACACAACAGTTCAGAGCTTAATCTAACAGTTGGACAATTTTGGTGTTGCCCGATTTGGATATTTTTGCTTTTACACCCATATACATTATATATATATATATATATATATATATATATATATATATATATATATATATATATATATATATATATATATATATATATATATATATATATATATATATATATATATACCTCTAAAGAGCCAGGCAAACCTACCTGACGATGACGCGTAGGTGAAACCTAGGTAGGTTTGCCTGGCTCTTTAGGTTCATAGTCAGATTTGCTCTACTTAGTGTATTGAGCACTTTTGTTTAGTTATTTTTACTTTACTCATGTCGGAGGTTTTTTTCTTTAGACACTGAACTTGGATTCTGGACGATTGCTTTCGCCTGAATTACATGTTCTTAGTTCTTTCTTTTTTATTGGTATTTGTTTGTTCATTTACAAGCCAAAACACCTAAGGTTTTCCCGGACGTGTATACGTACTTATATTTATAAAATTATATATATATATATATATATATATATATATATATATATATAACTCGACTCTCCGTCGAATTCGACATATGAGGGTCAAGCATATCAGTTCCATCAGTTACAAGAACACTACCAAATAAGAGAAACTGCATCGTTTAAGTAATGTTAATAAGAGCAACACGTAAAATGGACAGCACACGTAAGTAGAAAAGAAAATGTCATCAAGAAAATATTGACGTTTTACACTACTTCAAATGATAAGATGGACGCCTCAATTTATATTGCAGAGAAGATAACAGTTATTTGATTTGAGGAACCTATTTTCTAGAAAAAATATTTTTAAGTGAAATATTCTATAATTTTCAAACAACGGTATCAATGGCTATTTGGTCAATGAATACTTCATATTTCCTTATAAGGAAACGATTAATATTACCATTAGCATTATCGTTTGAAAGGATATCTTTACCGGATTATAAATGAAAGAATACGGAACGTAATATTTTTTGATATGCCCAATACTTCTCTCAGGCGTATCAAGAGAATTAATGTTATAACTTCAAATCTGACATGGGAAACGAAAGTGAACTTTGTGGTCTTAGCGCCAGTCATTAATCTTATCCACTCGGAGAATGTAAAATAACCATGTGAACAGGACGGCCGACACATAGATAACCATAGAATTTGTTGTTGGCCTATGCATTGTATACAGAAAAGTTTGGTTTGGCATGTTTTACGGCATATCAACCTTAATGGGTTATTTAATGCCGACAATATTTTTATTGCTCGTAATATTTTTTTCAAAAAGTATTTTGGCATTTTTCCAAAAAATGAATTTCTGGTAATAATTTATGTTATGGTGCGCGTTTTATAGCCTCCACCCCCTTGAGAGGATGCGGTATTAAGGTGTATGGAGGATTGACTGGTCACGGACGAGTTTTTATGGTGAATGTAAAAATTGTAATGTGTGAATCAGATTAGGTAGGTATAAGATAATTAGTGATGACTAGCCTCAATCCCTCCCCATTTTGGCCTTGTGCCGTAATTGTATGTTATATACAATAAATAACAATAATGTATGGCTAGTAATAATTTTTTCTTCAAAAATTTATTGCTGGTAATAATTTATTACAAAATTTTCGTCGTATTAAAACCTAGTTTTACACCTTTTGACCGCAGTTTGGTGGTTAACTATTTGCTCATAGCTGGAACCCTAACAGGTGCTACCACCCCGGGTCAGGGTGGACCTGGAAACACCAGCAATTAAGAGGTTGTTCCACGCTCCTCAAAACATCCTTGCTGACGGATGTAATTTATTGTCTTACCCAGGATGCGGGTGTAGTTTATCGTCATATCCATGACGGTTACGGAGAAAAGACTTTTTACCCGAGGCAATGTGTTAAATTGCAGGCTAGATTGGGCTGAATATGCGTGTATTCTAGCTGAAAGAAAACTCTAAATTCAGAACCATAGAGAAGGCAACAGAAAAATAACTTTCCATTAACCTTCCTAAATCGCCATATTAATAAACTGATAATAAAAAGATAATAAACCTATGGAGGACTGTGATCGTCTATTTCTTGAAGGGATACAGCTTTTAAAATATATTTATCTTTCGAGCCATCTCTACATTTGTAAATATCTATCTATCTATCTAGAAAGCTAGCTAGCTAACTAGCTACATATATGTAGATTTTATGATATTGCTGCATACTGTATTATTGTAATAGACACATATGTGAATAATGCCTGAAAGTATGGTGCGCTTCTCTTCAGAATCAAATATGTACGAAAGCCATAACGACATAAAAGAATTTGCATTTATCGTCTTGGATAATTCGTGATCTTCGGAATATTTATTTGTACTTCAGTTGTATTTGGAAAATCCGTAAGCATTGCTAAATGCCTTCAGACTTACTTGCAGAGATTATCGATGCTACTTGCAAATACGGGAAATAATGCCTTCTGACAAATCATCTTAAATCAATGATTTGGATTTGCATTCAGTACGAATGCAACTCGTCAACTTCGTATTGAAATTAAAAGACTCCTTTTCGAGTCATGTCTTCTATACATGCCGATCAAAATAAAGTGTTATTGTTTTATGAGTTATTCCCCAGTAATGTAAAGTAAAGATGAATCATAGAATGCAATTCATTGATTCCCTTGTCTTTTGATCTTAGAAAGAGGAAATAAGATGTGAAGGGATTTTCTGATTGATGCTTAAAACCTCAACAATAAAATAAACTTAATATTTACTTATCTGCACGGCATGAATAAATTCTGATTCTTAATTATTTTTCTTTATCTTGAATCCATATTGTTTGTAAAACATCAGTGAGATAGAGAAAAGGTGCTTTAGTCACGTGAATTATTTCTGTGTATATTCGTAACACAAAGTAAATCGCATAGTCACTTGATTGTGAATTACAGATGATCTTTGCTATATTTACAATCTGATTTGCCGTTTGCAAATGCCTCATATTTTTCGTTCCGGTCTGCCTCTGATATTTTGCGATATCCGCGTGCGCCGAATGAAAGGAAGGAAGGAAGCAAGTAAAGAAGGAAGGAAGGAAAGAAGGAAGGAAGGAAGGAAGGAAGCAAGGAAGGAAAAGAAGGAAGCAAAGAAGGAAGGAAGGAAGGAAGGAAGGAAGGAAGGAAAAGAAGGAAGCAAAGAAGGAAGGAAGGAAGGAAGGAAGGAAGGAAGGAAGGAAGAGAAGGAAGCAAAGAAGGAAGGAAGGAAGGAAGGAAGGAAGGAAGGAAGCAAAGAAGGAAGGAAGGAAGGAAGGAAGCAAAGAAGGAAGGAAGGAAGGAAGGAAGGAAGGAAGGAAAAGAAGGAAGCAAGGAAGGAAGGAAGGAAAAGAAGGAAGCAAGGAAGCAAGGAAAAGAAGGAAGGAAGGAAGGAAGGAAGGACAGAAGGAAGCAAGGACAGAAGGAAGCAAGGACAGAAGGAACGAACGAACGATATATAGATGGATAAGAAAGCAAACTGAAATCAAACAGACATATATGGACAAAGAAACGACCTAATTTGTTAAAATAAATATATAAATCATTAAGTAAATGAAGATATGCTCAGAATAGGAGTGGATTAGAATTTGACAAATTCTGAAAAGAATGACAAAAGAACGGGATTTGGTTTCGTGAAGGTAGCGATGGAGAGTGTGAAGAAGGGACTAAGCATAAACTAAAAGAAGACAGAATGCATGGTCATCAGTAAAAGAATGAACTCGAAATGCGATTTGCAGGTCGGGAACACTAGAATCAAGGAAACTCTGAAATTTAAATATCTAGGAAACATCCGTCAGAGGACGGTAAGTGCGACATGGAGATCCGTAGACGTATTGGGATGGCCAAGTACATATTTCAAAAGCCGGGCAGAGTACAGGAGGATTTCTTTGGTAACAAAGAAAAAAATACTGACCTCTTACTTGACATCTGTACTTCATTACAGCAGCGAATATTAGACGGCTTCCTCAAAAATGAAGAAGAGACTCGAGGCGACGGAGATGTGGCTCTACAGAAGGATGCTAAGGATATCATGGACCAAACGTGTGAGCAACGATAAAGTCTTAGAGGGGTTGCAAACAAGAAGGTTTATATTTAACATCAGGAAGATGCAGCTGAGGTTTCTGGGACACATAATGATAAAGGAGGTCCTGAAGTATCTGATACTCACAGGTCGAATAGAGGGGTAAAGAAACAAGGGAAAGCAACGCGTGACATATCTGGTGGTCTTAAGCAAGTGGATGACAGAACGTGGTCTAGGGAAGGAAGCAGAAGGAAGGAAGGAAGTTGTTGAGAGCTGAAAGGATAGATGAGATCGCCTACGTACTGAAAGGACATGGCAAATATATATATATATATATATATATATATATATATATATATATATATATATATATATACCGGGTGTAACAGCAAAATTGTCCAAATCGTTTAAAAGCAAATAATTTTCATTTATTACATCAAGATATGAACAGTTGTATCTTAGAAATGATTAAAAATATCTTACTGGAATTCTTCGAGGTTTTAATAACAGAATTGGACTCTATTTTGAGCAATAAGAATGTATAATTACTCTCCAAGATGACCTGCGATGAATCGATCAAAAGGAAAATGACATATTCCTCATTAATTAATCGTAGCTGAGGATCGGAAGCTCATGAAAGACTGAAATAAAGTTTATATATATATATATATATATATATATATATATATATATATATATATATATATATATATTATTCCAGGATCATTTTCCAATTTATTCAGGATAATGTCCGACTTCCAATCTTCTAACTTTCTGATCCTGGGTAACAAGGTGCCTCACAGGTTTCATGTGCGATTTCATTTTTAGTCTCTTTTTTCACTGTCCTTTGAACTGTCATAGCTGAAACTCCTCTTTCCCGTGCGAAACGTCTTATGAATTGAGTTGGATCTTTTCTGATCTTTTTAGTTCTAAGTTAAAGTTATGATCTCTTTTCCTGTTGTGACAACTTGACCCAGTTTTGCGCTTTACTGTTCCCTCATATTTAAACTTATTCACTGTTCTCTGATGGTTCTTGAATGGACTTTGGAGATGAAAGCCAGAGTATGAATGTTGGTACCATTACTGAAGGGTTGAATGATCTTTTTCCTCTCACTATTGCTCAGTTGGGGAGATAGTGGCGGTGACAAAAAAAAACGATTTTAACATATTTTCTTTCTAATTCAATAACTCAAAGGATTTTTCAGTGATTCTTACAACAAATGCTGTTAAGATTGCTAAACGTCTTATCTGAAAACACGAAAAAAGAATTTCAATTGCTTTATTATTTTTCTAGATACTAAACATTTTTTGGAGGGCTAATTATGCTGGTACACGATTTGGACAATTTTGCAATATTTATGGGTAAAGTGCTCAATATCAGAGATAGAGCGTATGTAAATATAAATATAAAAGTGAACAGTGAAGTCAACACAGATGTGACAGTGTGTTTCATGCTGGAGGCAATCGTCAGGCCGCGAATGCTGGTTTTTTCCTCGGCTATTTATATGTGGGTCAGTGGTGCATTGTGGGTAATCTATTCTGTCGGTTATTTGTGGGAGTGGCTTATTTGTTTGTTTATTTATTTATTTGGGTTAATTTATTTTACTTGTTTTTCATTTTCATTTCATATTATTTATTCTTTTCGTTTTTTGATTTTTCATTAACGTAGGAAAATTTTGTGTGGAATTGCTTAAGTCGCTTATTTAATAGTTTGTTGTGGTCTGGGAATAAGCAAATTAACAAACGCAAAGAATGTATAAACATAAAAATGTCTTAAAATAATTATCGGACTTTGTCCATTTCATAACGTATGACGTCATTTTTTTACATGTGGATACGCCATGAGCAGATATGAATTTATGTTCATGGAAGATTGTAGTTTAAAAACAGTAAAATCGACCTTGCTAACAGAACGCCCGTCTGTGGCCCCATCGGTTAAGGCAGGTCAGGGTATATGACGGTTCCGTATAGGATGCAGGTTCAATTCCTGTTGGAGGACAAATATTTTCTATGAATTTTCTATAGGCCGGTAAATGTTGTTTATTATAAACAGATCATTTACTTAAATATATATGTATATATTGTAATATTTTTTGTTTAAAAATATGATTCCTTCGCTACATAAGAGTTCTCATGTTTCAAAAACGAGAGCCGAAACCATCCAAATAATTATTAAAATTAAGTTGAATTGAGGTGTTTAGTCCCGTATCATCTTCAAGCGAAATTTTAGGAATAAGCTATCTCTTGGTTTACGCGTGTTTTTAGGCATGGTCCGTTATAACATTCGTTATTGTGGGAGTGGCTAGGCGAGTTTTCTTCGTTAAGTGGTCAGAGAGTTAATTCTTATCTTTTCTTTCTGAGAGGTTTAGCTAAGGTTGGGTAGGGTATCTATTTCAAGGCTAATGTTGGCGGTCAACCTCTAGTTAGTTCCCAGTGAGGGATATTTTTATGACGCGCCTACAAGTCGTTATGTGTCGGGAGGATTTGGTTTTATTATTGTCTATCTGATTATCTATTTAATTATTTGTTTATTCAAGTGGGTGTATTACACTGAATTTCAATTTGTTGTTTGACGACTACAGAAAGGTTTTTTCCTATTTAATGATTTGGCTAAGCTTTTAAGACTTTTATTAAACTATGTGATTTTTTTATGCTTCTTATTTAATGCGAAAATTTGTTGATGTCGGCAGAAAACCGTTAACTCCTGCCTATAGTTTAATAATTTTTCATTGTTTAGAAACGTATATATATATATATATATATATATATATATATATATATATATATATATATATATATACACACACACACACACACACATATATATATATATATACACACAGTGGGAGAAATAAATATTCGTACACATGAAAAATTGTATTTTTATAAATGTAAAAACTTTAAATAAAATAAATCTCGGCACATTTCATGTATAAAGACACATACTATTAAAAAATAATAATAAACTTAATTAATTCTTATTCTAACAGAAATTAATGCATTTTTTAAATTCTAACTGGTGAAAAACGTATTCGTACAAATCAATTATTAGAATAAAATAATCAATTAATTATGAAAAAAAGTATATTCTAGAATGTTCCAGTAATGTTATCAGTAATTATAGTTAACGCTATTAGCCATTATCAGAGCATTCTGCAATTTCTAGTCTTACGAGAAGGTTCTAATAATGCCTAAAGGTAAAGAATTGACTATTTCACAAAAACAATATATTTTGTCTCTTTGGAAAGATGGGAACAGTTACAGAACTATTTCTAACAACCTGAATATTCCTTTTACTACAATTGCTTCGTTCATTGCAAGGTTTAAAATTTGTAACAGCATCGAAAACCAAAGACGAACAGGTGCTTCGAGGAAGATTTCTCTAAGATCAGCAAAGATATTAGGACGCCAGATCCAACAATATCCACAGGTTACTCGAGAAGAGCTGCATGCATTAGGGGTTAAAGTAACCAAGCGTGCAATAAGTAATGAACTACACAAAAACAGTCTGAAATTACGCATCTCAAGGAAGCCTCCACTCCTCTTGAAACGACACAGAGATGCTAGGCTAAAATTCGTTAGAGAGTATAAGGATAAAGAATATTCGTTTTGGGAAAAAGTACTATAGACAGATGAAACTAAAATAGAGTTGTTTGGTCATAATTATCGAAATCATGTGTGGTGGAAGGACGGTGAAGCCTGCTTACCAAAGAACACGTTGCCAACTGTAAAGTTTGGAGGTGGCAGTTTTTCTGCAAAAGGTGTTGGCAGAATATCAATAATAGATGGCAAGATGAATGCCAAAAGCTACGAGAAAATCTTGCAAGACAATTTAATGCGTTCTGTTGAGAGACTTCGGCTACCTCCTGATTGGGTTTTCCAAGTGGATAATGATCGAAGCATACCGCTAGATCTAAAAGGAAATGGTTAGCTGAAAGTAACGTTGATGTCTTGCAATGGCCTATTCAGTCCCCAGACTTGAACTCAATCGAGAATTTATGGTGATATTTGAAAATTCAAATTGGGAAAAGTGCACCAATAAATATAAAAAATTAGAAGACAATATGCCAAGAAGAATGGGAAAAAATACCACTCAATGTGTGCAAATCATTAGTTGTGACGTGCAGGAATAGACTGATAGCTGTTAAACTCAATAAAGGATATACCACAAAGTATTAAATTAAGTTAATATGCTTTTTTGTTTTGTACGAATACTTTTTTCATCAGTTAAAATGAAAAAAATGCATTAATTTCTGTTAGAATAAAAATTAAATTTATTTCTATTTTTTAAAAAAATGTATCTTTACACATAAAATGTATCAACATTTGTTTTACTTAAGGGTTTACATTTATAAAAAAATACAATTTTTCATGTGTAAGAATATTTATTTGCCCCACCGTATATATATATATATATATATATATATATATATATATATATGTATTTATATATATAT